GACGCTTTGGTTCAAAATACCTCTTGGCAAACTTTTCAAAGTTTACCAAGACCTGCCAATTCTACCTCATTTAAAAATATACAAATCGAGGTAAATGTGGACGGAGGTGAAAGCAGCTCTCTACATAAAAATGCTTTCGTGTATTTTTGCGGTTATTTGTACTATAAATATTTTAAACAACATAATTGTTTAATGCCCTTGGCCAATATTTGATGGTGGTACTACTGAAGAAGATTTTTTCTTAACTTCGGAAAAGCAATACAGTAATTGCCAAATAGTAAAACCACCCCTTGAATTTATAGATTTTCTATCAAAAATCGAAGATATTTATACACAACATTTTGATTCTACTTGCCATAGGATCGGCTTTTTCCAGATATTATTTGAAAAAATGGTTAAAGTAAAACCGTACTATTGTTGTAAAAGTTGTAAATCTGATATTATAAAATATTTATTCATTAGAATTAGAACATATTTCCTAGTAAACGCTTTTAATAAAACTACTATCTAGTACATTTCTTTTAATTACATCTCTGTGCCTAAAAAAGGCAGATTTCGATCAGGTGATCTCAGTTGTGAAAAATTCTTGGAAAACAGCTGATTCTTTTGTTACTTGTAGGGTTATACAATGCATATAATGCCAAACCGAACAAAACGTGGGGAACACTGATGTGGTGAACACTATGAGCGCGACAGACTGCAATAGTACGACAGTGAACTGAAAATATCGTTATGAATCCTTCTACATGAACATTTGTGAGAAGGCAGCAACATAACAATGGACGGCACGTACACAAGCCAACACAGCTGTCCATTTTGCATGTACACAATTTAGTTGTGGCCATGTACTAATCACTTAGATGAAATTTTAATATTTTGTTCAAAGTGAATTTTTTTATTTATTTATTTAAGTAAACATACGCCAAACGGCATTATACAACTAAATAATTTAAAATTATATAATATTTGTTATGTAATTAAAAGGGAGGAATTAATAGTATTTAATACTAGTATAAATAAAAGTATAAATTGAACAAAAATTGTGAAAATAGCAAATTAGGAAGGAGAAAGTGGAAAAGATGACACTAGGGATATTGCAGTAGGCGTGATTTGATATCCGGGATGAAGGCACTGAGTGATCCGCTAAAGAAGTCCACAGCACTATGTAATGAGTTGACGAGCCTGGCCAGACGGTTGTGATTACCATTGAAGACGTAGCTCTTGGTAGTTTTCATAGTCTTTAGGAGACGGTTACGTCTCAGTGAGAGACCCACTTATGCAAAATCGAAACTGCTGATGATGTCTGGTGCATCGATGAGGCCGTTCACGACTTTGAAGAAAAATATCATGCCAGCTACTTGACGACGTTCTTGCAGGCTGTTGATGTTATAGTGGTTATAGACATCAGATACTGTGTTGTAACCACCAGGAATACCATATCCATAGCCAAGACATTTACATAGCTTTGATTGTATTTTTTCAATACGACTAGAGGCTGCATCGGTATAAGACGTCCAAATTACAGTGCCACATTCTAAAATTGGCAGAACCATTGATGAATAAAGGCGTAACAGTCAGAAGGGATCATGAAATCCTTACTAGTTCTAGTAATGAATCCCAGAGCATTAAAAGCCTGGAGAGTGATCTTCTCAATATGTTTGCTAAGCGTCAGTTTATTGTCTATGATGATACCCAGGTCCTTTACATGATCCACTTCACTTAACAACTCATCATTTAGATAATAATTAGCTGGTATTCTGATATGTGACCGTGAGTAGGATACAGTTATACATTTTCTGACATTCAAGTCCAATTTATTTAATCGGCAAGCTTGTCTATGTCATTCTGAAGAACTCGAAGGTCTTTCTCACTGGTTATCATTCTGAAGATCTTCAAATCGTCTGCATACAGCAAAAATTGTGATTGAAAGTTATCGCCAATATCGTTTAAGAGG